AAAAAAAAAAAAAAATCAAATATGTATCAAAAAGTATGCCATAAAAAAGTCTCCCACACCTGACTCACGGATCTTGACCCCTCTCTTACAGCTAAACTCTTTTATTAGTTTTTCTACCTGCATTATACACATTACAAGCAAAACCAAATATGTCTCCTCCTCCTTAAAAGGAGTTCCCTATACACTGTACACTAATTGATTCCTTTACAAAATATATCTTGGAGTTTTTCATATTAGTATACAGAGATGTAATTCTTAAATTTACACTCATATTTACTGGTCTCTATAGTCTGTTTATTTTCCCCTTAATTTAATGATGTGTACCTTCAGATGTTTGAAACAATGGGCTTCTGTTGTATGGTAATATATCCGATTTTTTTTTTTGAGACAGAGTCTCACTATGCCATCCTCAGTAGGGTGCTGTGGCGTCACAGCAATCTCCAGCTCTTGGGCTTAGGAGATGTTCTTGCCTCAGCCTCCTGAGTAGCTGGGACTAGAGGCGTCTGCCACAACAACGCCGGGCTACTTTTTTGTTCCAGTTTGGTCGGGCCGGGTTCGAACCCGCCATCCTAGGTATATAGGGCCGCGCCCTATCCACTGAGCCACAGCGCCGCCCTAAATCTGCTCTATTTCTTGTTACGCCCGTAGCTTTGCGGGCAGCAGCGGCTAAACTGGGAGGGGTCACATCATCCCACCTCTACTTGCCAGAACTTAGTCACATGATCACATCAAGCAAGGTGACCAATCAAAGGAGAAAGGGAGACTATACACTTTGGGGAACAATTGGCAGTCCTTTTCTCAGTGGTTGAGGCCTTAGGGAGAGGACTTAGTCTCGCTCCTACTCTGTGGGACTTAATAGGTAAACTTATTTTTTTTCTTTTTGAGTCAGAGTCTCACTAGGTCACCCTTGGTAGTGCCGAGCCGTCTTTAGCTCCAGCAACCTCCAACTCTCGGGTTCAAGCGATTCTCTCGCTTCCTCCTCCCCAGTAGCTGGGATTACAGGCGCCCGCCCCAACGCCCGGCTGTTTTTAAAGACCGGTCTCGCTCTAGCTCAGGCTGGTCTCCAACTCGTGAGCTCAGGCAATCCACCCGCCTCGGCCTCCCAGAGTGCTGGGATTACAGGTGAGAGCCGATAAATCTATTTTTAAATTTTATGTAGACTGTATAAAATACGAAAAGTACACAAATTGTAAGTGGATAACTTGGGGAATTTTCACAAAGTGAACATACTTGCATACTGAACTTGCAGGTCAAGGAATTAAACCATCAATTCTCAGAGTTGAGTTTCCTTCGCAACCTAAAAGAGGAGTCACCAAGACCAGAGACTCAGTAATTTAGGGAGGCGGGGCCGCGTCTGGTCGAGAGCGGACCACAGACCAATGAGGCGTGGTCAAGAGGAGAAGCTGGTCTCGCCAGCCCGTTGCTCCTTCTCGAGACAGGAAAGGGGAGGAGCCTGACGGCGTTACGCATTGTGGGCGGAGTTTTCTGGTCGTGAGTCCCGGTTGGAGCGAAAGGGGGTGGTCACTTTCGAGCAGGCGATGTTAAGTAAAGGAACGATTTCTCAGCCAAAATGGGCGGTCCCCAAAGCAGGTTGGGCGCTTAAGGGTCAGGTGGGACGGTTAGCCAGACTCTGTGAGGGCCGGGGGTTTTGAGGCATTTTAGTGCCTGAGTCTCGCGGTGGACGCGGTGGGCAGGGCCTAGTGGTGCCGGAGCGGACGTTGTGGTGAGGGGCGGGGCCGGCCGAGCGCTCCAAGATGGCGGCCAACGTGTTCCCGTTCCGTGACGCGCGCGCTGCCCCTGATCCGGTGCTGGAGGCCGGCCCGGTGGCCCACGGGCCACTGCCAGCGCCACTGGTGCTGGACAACGGGTCGTTCCAGGTCCGCGCTGGTTGGGTGTGTCCTGGACCCGACCCAGGCCCTGAGCCGCGCTTGCAGTTCCGCGCGGTGTGCGCCCGCGGGCGTGGCGGGGCTCGGGGCGGGGCGGGCCCGCAGGTGGGCAATGCACTGGGCAGTCTGGAGCCGCTGCGCTGGATGCTGCGTTCACCCTTCGACCGCAACGTGCCTGTCAACTTGGAGCTGCAGGAGCTGCTGCTTGATTACAGCTTCCAGCACCTCGGTGTCTCCTCACAGGTGAAGAGCAGGGTGGTGGGCTGGTTTTGAGGGTGGGGTTAGCGCTTGTCTCCTCTCTGCTCTCCGAGAGATAATAGTAATTTCAGTAACTCCTATTGTTATTTAGTTAGTCGAGCAAATATTGCATGCCTAATGTGTATATGCCCTGTGCAGGGGTAGAGCAGCGAGAACACCTTTTCTTGACCTGTGTTTTCTTGGGAGTACACGTTGGGGAATGTGTGCTCTAAGGTAATAGATTAATTTATTAGCAAATATGTATTGACCACTTTATGTCAGGCACATTTTGAGGTATTTAGAATACATCTGTAAAATAATAGAACTTCCTGAGCTTATTGAATTAGTATGGAAAGATACTAGACTATGAAGAGACAATGAACAGTAGAATTAACTAGTACATTCTATGCCATGATAGAAGGAGAAGAGGAGGTTACATTTTTCAATAAGTTGGGCAGGGTAGGACTGATGGAGAAGGTAATGTTTGAGCAAAGACTTGAAGGAGGTGATGAACAGAGCAAGCTGTGTGAGTATCTGAGGGGAATGTATTCCAGTCACAGGAAGTAGCCAGTGAAAAGGCCCTGAAGCAGGAGTGTGCCCTAATGCTAACTGCAGCCAGACTGAGCCGGAGAGAAGTACCTAGAAGAGGGACCACCTCTTTATCTTAGCCCAGAGGCCAAAAAGTGATGAAAGAAGCACACTATCTGGAAGAGGATGTCAGAGAGTAGTAAGGGGACGGTTGACTTGTCTTTTAGCTTTTACTCTGAGTGAAATGGGGAGCCATTGCAGAGTATTAAGCAGAGTAAGAACATGACCTGTGTTCAGTAGCCAGCCTTTTCACTGGCTACTTCAGTATAATCACTATGGCTGCTTTATGGAGAATGAACTGTCATGGCTCATAGGAGGGAGACAGGGGAACCTGTTAAGAGTTTGTCAAAATAATCTACTTGAGGGATGATGGAGATTTAGATTGGGAGGTAAAATGGAATGTAAGAAGCAGCTGGGGGTGGGCCCATAGCTCAGTGGCGGAGGGTTGGAACCTGGCCCCGGGCCAGCTAAAAAAACAATGACAACTGCACCAAAAAAATACCCAGGCATTGTGCTGGGTGCCTGTAATCCCACCTACTTGGGAGGCTGAGGCAAGAGAATCACTTAAGCTCAAGAGTTTGAGGTTGCTGTGAGCTGTGACGTGACGGCACTCTACCCAGGGTGACAGCTTGAGACTCTGTCTGAAAGAAAAAAGCAGTTGGGTTCTGGAGATTTTTTTGAAAATAGAGCCCACAAGATTTGCTGATAGTTGGATGGGACTTAGTAACTTAAATTGACCCTATGTTCATATTTTCCAGTATTGAGATTTACAGTTGCTTCTGACCAGGTTTTTGATTAAGAAACCAAAAGCAAATTCAGTCCTGCAATAGGATTTTTATGCTTTAAAAAAGTCTTCTGTTAGGCTCGGTGCCTGTAGCTCAGTGGTTAGGGTACTGGCCACATGCACCGGGCTGGTGGGTTTGAACCCGGCCCAGGCGTGCTAAACAACAATAACAACAACAACAAAAATAGCCAGGCATTGTGGCAGGTGCCTGTAGTCCCAGCTATATATGTGGAAGGCTGAGGCAAGTGAATCACTTATGCCCAAGAGTTTGAGGTTGCTGTGAGCTGTGATGCCACAGTGCTCTACCGAGAGTGACATAGTGAGACACTGTCTCAGAAAAAAGAAAAGAGTCTTCTGTTATACTACTCATCTATTTGCCTTTTTCTTTCAAAGTAGGGTTGTGTTGATCATCCCATAGTTTTGACAGAAGCTGTGTGCAACCCGCTGTATTCACGACAAATGATGTCGGAGCTGCTTTTTGAGTGCTATGGGATTCCCAAGGTTGCCTATGGAATAGACAGCCTCTTCAGTTTCTACCACAATAAACCAAAGAACTCAATGTCCAGTGGGCTCATCGTTTCATCTGGATATCAGTGCACGCATATTTTGCCCATCCTAGAAGGGAGGTGAGTTGCATTTGTGGCATCTGAGTGCTGTTCTGAGAAGCGTTCAGAAACATTTATAATAGAACCTTTGTAACTGGACCATCTAAGGCAGCAGTTTTCAACTTGTGGGTTGTGACCCACAGGAACTATATTAAAGGGCTGCGGTGTTAGGAAGGTTAAGAACCACTGATCTAAGGGATTGTGACAAACTGGTCAATATAGAGGCGGTCAACATGAAGAACTAGGCCTGCTTAAGGACAGGTGGTACATATCTGGTCTTTGAAAGTTAGGTCAATTTAAGGAGGTCATCAGTATAGGGATGTGGTCAACTATGAAGGTTCTACTGTATTTAGTGCCTACTTTAAAGGTAGAGTGGAAAGAGCAAGTAGCCTATGAACTGAGCCTCTGGGCTTGGCTTTGACCTACTTCACTGTGGGACTATGAGTAAGTCACTTCACTTCTCCTTTGTGACCTTGTGGAGGGAGTTAAGATGGATAGTATCTTAGGTCCAAATGCATAATTCTATAATTTTATTCTGACTTAAGAGGGAGATAGCTAGCACAGTATCTTCAGGTAGTAGGCAATTCATAGAAATGTTTTAAGTTATTTGAACAGATTTTTTGTTTTTTTTTTTTTTGAGATGGAGCCTCAAGCTATCCCCCTGGGTAGAGTGCCATGGCATCATGCTCACAGCAACCTCCAACTCCTGGGCTCAAGCGAGTCTCCTGCCTCAGCCTCCCAAGTAGCTGGGACCACAGGCACCCGCCACAACGCCCGGCCATTCTTTGGTTGCAGCCATCATTGTTGTTTGGCAGGCCCAGGCTGGGGATTCAAACCCGCCTCCTTAGGTGTATGTGGCTGGCGCCCTAGCCGCTTGAGCCACAGGTGCCGAGCCTATTTGAACAGATTTAAGTTAGACCATCATTGTATTCTGGGATCACTTTTTTTTTTTTTTTTGAGATATCACTTCTCAGTAGCTCTGGGGTTGAGTGCCACAGGGTCATAGCTCACAACAATCTCAAACTCTTGTGCTTAAGTGATTCTCCTGCCTTAGCCTCCCAAGTAGCTGGAACTATAAGGTATACTGTCCAGCTATTTTTAGAGATGGGGTCTCACTCTTGCTCAGGCTGATCTGGAACTCCTGAGCTCAAGCAGTCTTCCCATCTTGGTCCCCCGCGAGTGCTAGGATTATAGGCCTGAGCCACTGTGTCCAGCCAGATGTTTTTATTTTTTTACTTTAAAGCTCTTTGACTGGATGTGGTTGCTCATGTCTGTTATCCTAGCTCTTTGGGAGGCCAAAGCAGGTGTATTGCTTGAACTCAGGAGTTCCATACCAGCCTGAGCACCTGTAAAATGGTGCTTAAGGCCCCACCTGTAAAAATGACTGGGCATTGTGGTGGGCACCTGTAGTCCCAGCTACTTAGGAGGCTGAGGCAAGAGGATCACTTGAGCCCAAGAGTTTGAGGTTGCTGTGAGCTACAATGCCATGGCACTCTACCCAGAGCAACTGAGTGAGACTCTGTTTCAAAAAAAAAAAAAAAATTTTTTTAAAAGCTCTTTAATCACTGTTTTTCCAGGGGTATCCAACCTGTTGTGGGTCACAGGCGGATAACTTGAGGACTGTTTTGCTTATCAGTAGTGCCAACTATCATGAAAATTATGTATAGACTGTTTTCTATTCATCAGTTGTTATTGTTTGTGTATTTAATGTGTGGTCCAAGGCAGCTCTTCTTCCAGTGTACAGCAAAGAACAAAAAAGATTAGACACCCTGGGCACCTTTTTGTCAGGTATAGTGCCTGGCAAATAGTAGGCACTTAGAAATGTAATTGAGTTGAGTAGAAGACAATGATCGTTTATATCATATTTAAAATATGTTCTCACTTTATAGTTGGCCTTTCACTGGCTGATAAGAGATGAGGGCAGCCTTGTATTCTCCTGGGAAGGTTTCTCACACTGGGTAAGGAAGTGCGTATCGTAGACAGGAGCGCTGACTTTGCAGCCAAATACCTGCGTATACAGCTTCTTCTTAACCTCTTCACTTAGTCTCCTAACATGTAAAATTGGAAAAAACAGGTTTCCTAGGGTCACCCTGAGGATGAAATGAGATAATGTAGATAATGATACCTTGTAAACTATGAAGCAGTCCAAATGTTTAAGTCAAGATATATATCACTGAATTCATTGACACATATAATGGGAATTTTTCTTGATACTTCCATAAAACTCTATGAAGAAAAAGGTAATTCTTACACATTACCAAATGCTTCTGAGTATGGAGTTCCCTATTTCATATAAACAGAATATGTAGAAATTTAAACTAACTTTATTTATTTATTTTTTGAGACAGTCTCACTTTGTCACCCTGGGTAGAGTGCAGTGGTATCATAGCACACAGCAACCTCAAACCTCTTGGGCTCAAGTGTTCCTCTTGCCTCAGCCTCCCATGTAGCTGGGACTAAGGCACCTGCCACAACACCTAGCTATTTTTAGAGAGGGTGTCGTGCTTTTGCTCAGGCTGGTGTCAAACTCATGAGCTCAAGTAGTCCACCCACTTTGGCCTCCCAGAGTGCTGGGATTACAGGCATGAGCCAGCACACCTAGCCTAACATGTTATTTTTACGTTAATTTATTGAGAGAAAATTATTTTACCTGAAGGCTAAGAAATTACCTGTTCGGATCATACATGGTGTTACAAAGGTGCCCATAAAGTCACCATATTATAGGGGAAGTGGGAAATGGTAGCTAAATGTACTTTTTTTTTTTTTTTTTTTTGAGTCTCACTGTGTCACCTTGCCCCTTGGTGGAATGCTGTGTCATCATAGCTCACAGCAAACTCAAACTCTTGGGCTTAAGCGATTATCTTACCTCAACCTCCCAAGTAGCTGGGACTACAGGTGCCCACCACAACGCCCAGCTATTTTTTGGTTGCAGTTGTCGTCGTTTAGCTGGCCTAGGATGGGTTCAAACTTGCTAGCTTCAGTGTATGTGGCTGGCCCCATAACCATTGTGGTATAGGCGCCGAGCCTAAATGTACTTTTATTTACAAAATAATTCGTTACAATATTTTTACAAAATATTTACAAAGTATTCTTTACATGTTTGATCCCTCTTTGTAGAATTTTGTAATGAATAATTTGTAAATGCACATTAGGCACAATTTCCCATTTTCCCTGTGCCTGGTGACTTTGTGGGTGACCTTTGGGACACTATAGAATATCCTATTCTGTGCTGGCATCTACTGGTGAGGTATGATATAGCAGTGACACTTCAGTATCATACAGCAAGTTTCTAGTGCTTTAGCTTTCACATTAGGAACATAGCTACTCTGCTTCTCTTCCCCTTTGGTTAGTGTACAAGGGATCTGCCTTTTAGGAGATTGCAGTAGCTAGTATGTGTGTGGTTCTTAATGTATTTACATCAGAAGTGCCGTGTTTAGGGAAGGGGTTCTCAAACTGCAGCCTATACCAGCTCGCCTGAGGAACTTGTTAAAATGCAGATTCCCTGGCCCATCCCAATGCAGATGTCCTGGCTCTTGGCATATTTAGCATTTTCTCCAGCTTTTTCTGAGATAACTTGGTCTCGGGACCACAGTTTGAGAACTACATGATGAGACATACAAAGGTCTGACTGTGGAGTGCATGTTCTTTCTGTCAAACCTTGTTTCTTTCTAAGCCTCTGGCCAGAATTTAGATGATCATATCTGGATGTGAACTAAGAATTCCTGCCTGGATAAGAGGTTGGACTGAGAGAACTTAAAGTCTCTTATAAGTGTAAGGTTTTGTGTTTTCCCTGATGGTTGGTTTCTTCAAGATGCTCTATATTCTCCCCTATGTGTTGTCAGAAATTGCAGTGCTGTTTTCTACTGCTTGGTTATAGATTAGATGCTAAAAACTGCAAGCGCATCAATCTTGGAGGAAGTCAAGCAGCTGGCTACCTCCAGCGTCTGCTCCAGCTGAAGTATCCTGGGCACCTGGCAGCTATCACTCTTAGCCGCATGGAGGAGATTCTGCACGAGCACAGCTACATAGCTGAGGATTATGTAGAAGGTAAGGAAGAGGACCTTTGCCTGCAGCTTAATTTTATTTAAATAATTTTGTTTAAATAATAAAAGAAGACTCGGTGCCTATGGCTCAAGCGGCTAAGGCGCCAGCCACATATACCGAAGTAGGCGGGTTCGAATCCAGCCTTGGCCTGCTGAACAACAATGACGGCTGCAACCAAAAAATAGCCGGGCATTGTGGCGGGCGCCTGTGTTCTCTGCTACTTGGGAGGCAGAGGCAGGAGACTCACTTGAGCCCAGGAGTTGGAGGTTGCTGTGAGCTGTGATGCCACAGCAGTCTACCCAGGGGGACAGCTTGAGGCTCTGTCTCAAAAAAATAAATAAATAAGTAAATAAATAATAAAAGAATAAAAATAGGTAAATATGTTCATCATTTTTAGCCATTAGGGAAAAACAAAACCTCAGCGAGCCACCACTATCCAACTATTAGAATAGCTAAAATACAATACAGTGACAAGACTGAGTGGTGGCTCATGCCTGTAATTCTGGCACTTTGGGAGGCCAAGGCAGGAGGATTGCTTGAGCCCAGGAGTTTGAGACCAACCTAGGCAATATAGCAAGACCTTCATTTCTACAAAACATTTTTAAAAATCAGCTGAGCAGTGTATTCCTAGCTACTCAGGATATTCTCAAGGAATATACAAAAATCTACAACTATAAAGTTTAGCAAGATCACAGGATATAAGGTCAACACATAAAAGTGAACTGTACTGCTGTACATAACTGCAGTGAGCAACTGGGAACTGAAATTTAAACAAGCACTTAGGAAAAAATCTAACCAAACCGGTACAGGATCTGTCTGCTAAAAACTACAAAATGCTATGAAAGAGGCCAATAAAGAACCAGATTAATGGAAAAACAACAGCATATTACGTTCGTGAATTGGAAAACTCAACATGGTAAAAGTGATCATTCTCCCTAAATCTATAAACTTAGTGCGATTCCAGTCAAAATCCCAAGAGAATTTTTTTGTACATGTGGACAAGTTTATCCAAATATTTATGTACTAGTATGATTCCTGTAGCTCTGTTCTTTTTCAAAATTGTTTTAACTATTCTAGTTCCTTTGCCTTTCCATATAAATACTTGGTTGTAGGTTTTGTATATTCCTTGGGAATTTCTATGTAAATGTGTCCAGAAATAGACAAAAGTTTTATTTTTTCCTTACCTATATGTCTTTTATTTCTTTTTCTTGCCTTATTTTCCTGGCTAGTAGTTTCAGTACCTTGTTGAATAGGAGAGATGAGACTGGGCATTCTTTTTTGTCTTGTAGAGATAGAGTCTTGGTATGCTATTATTGTTCATACTGGTCTCAAACTCTTGGGCTAAAGTACTCCTCCTGCCTCAGCTTTCTGAGTAGCTGGAGCCTGGACTGCATAGGCAAGAGAGTAGGCATTCTCATCTTGTTTCCAATTCCTGATCCTGGGGTGGTGGTGGGAGGATGCATTTATCTTTGATTATTAAGCATATTATGGTAGCTCTAGGTTTTCACAAATGGCTCTTATCAAGCTGATAAAATTCTCTTCTATTCCTAATTTTGCTGATCATTTTTATCACGAATGGATTTTGAGTTTTGTGAAATGCTTTTACTTCGTCAGTTAAGATGATCTTGTAGTATTTGTTCTTTAGATAATTTATATGAGGCATTATAATGATTGCTTTTAAATATAGAACCAACCTTGATTTTTTACGGGGTATATGCACGCTCATTTGTTTACTCTTTTATATATTGCTGGATTCAATTTGGTTTTATTTCGTGAGGGGTTTTATGGCTGTGAAAATTCATGAAGGATAGCAGTGTTTAGTTTCCTTGTACTGTCTTTGTGCAGTTTGGTGTCGGGGCAATACTGGCCTTGTTAAATGAGCTGAAAAGTGCTGGAAAAGATTGTATACATAATTGGTATTTTTTTTTTTAATACTTAGTAGAATTCTATAGTAGAAAAATTTGAGCCTAGGGTTTTTTTTTTTCTTAAGTCTTTTAACCATGAATTCAGTTTCTTTGACAGAGGTGTGACTATTCAGCTAATGTCGTTGATTTCCTCTTTATTTCCTTCGTTTTTCTTAGTTTAGGTTTATTTTGCTCTTTTTTTTCTAGTTTTTTAAGGTAGAAGCTTTGATTATTATGAGGCCATTCTTTTTTTTTTTTTTTTTGAGACAGAGCCTCAAGCTGTCCCCCTGGGTAGAGTGCCGTGGCATTACAGCTCACAGCAACCTCCAACTCCTGGGCTCAAGCGAGTCTCCTGCCTCCGCCTTCCAAGTAGCTGGGACCACAGGCGCCCGCCACAACGCCCGGCAATTTTTTTTTTTGGTTGCAGCCATCGTTGTTTGGCGGGTCCGGGCTGGGGATTCGAACCCGCCACCTTAGGTGTACGTGGCTGGCGCCTTAGCCGGTTGAGCTATAGGCGCCGAGCCTCTTTTTTTTTTTTTAATATAACCATTTAATGCTTTTTTTGTTTGTTTGAGACAGTCTCACTATGTTGACCTTGGTAGAGTGCTGTGGCGTCACAGCTCAGAGCAACCTCAAACTCTTGGGCTTCAGCAATTCTCTTGCCTCAGCCTCCCAAGTAGGTGGGACTACAGGTACCTACCACAATGCCCGGCTATATTTTTGTTGCAATTGTCATTGTTGTTTAGCAGGCCCAAACCCACCTGCCTTGATGGGTTCAAACCCACCTGCCTTGATGTATGTGTCCAGCTCCCTAACCACTGAACTACGGGTGCTGAACCCCATTTAATGCTGTTAATTCCCATCTCAGCCTTGCTTTATCTGTATTCCACAAGTTTTTTAATATTTTCATTGTTATTGAATTCAAATATTTTTTAATTTCCTTCAAGACTTCTTTGAGCAATTGATTATTGTAGAAAACTAACAAAATGATGCCCCCACAAAAGACGAGAAAAAGAAATGTATTACTTTAAGTCCAAGTGTTTGGAAATTTTCTTGTTATCTTTCTGTGATTTATTTGTGGGTTAATTTTGTTATGTCAAAGAACTTTCTTTGTCTAATCTCAGTTAAATTTGTTTATGATCCAGAATAGGGTCTACTTTGTTTGGCAAAAGTTCCACATACCCTTATGAAGAATACACGTTCTGCTCTTGGTGGCTAGAGTGTTCTCTTTGTGTCACTTAGAATCTCTGGGGTGGTGGTGGTGTTCAGTTCTTCTGTATCCCTGTTTATTTCCTGTCGACTGCCTCTGGATTATGGAGAAGAGAATACTGACGTCTGTAGGAACACATATCATTGTGGATTTTCCTATTTCTGCTTTCATTTCTGTCAGGTTTTGCTTTCAGATATTTAAATCTCTTTTATTAAGTACATATTTAGGATTCTTATGTCGTCTTGGCAAATTGACCTTTTGTCATTATGTAATATCCCTTTTTTGCCTTGGCAGTTTGCTTTGAAGTCTACTTGAGTATTAATATAGCCACTTCAGCTTTCTTTTCATCACTGTGCATGGTACGTCTTTCTGTCCTATTACTTTCCAGCTAACTGTATCATTATGTTCAAAGTGAATGTCTTAGTAGTTGGGTCATTTTTAAAAAATCTATTTTTCAATCTATTTAATTAGTATATTAAGATCATTCACAATTATTATTTTTGGATTTAGATCCACCATTTTATTTGTTTACTCTGTTTATTGTTCCTTTGTTTCTCTCTGCTGCCTTTTATGTTTTTTTTTTTTTTTTTTTAGTTTATTAATAGTTTATTTATCGCTCATTCATAGCTCAGGAACACAGGTCAGTGACAAACGTCTGTATGTAAATCAGCCCAAAGAAATTCTTCATATTCCAAAATCACTTTATGCTCTGAAGGACACTAGCCTTCCTCATCTCAAAATCTTTCATAGAATCACAGTTTCTGTAGAAATCTGCATATGCCTTCTTTCTTGGTTCAGCCATAGCAAACTTATAGAAAGCTGCAATCCCCAGGGATACAACAGATGCTCCAACAGTATGAATCTGAAGGGACCTGGCCACAGGGCCATGCACCTTCGAGGTTTGGCCAAAGCCCTCGAAGCCATGGTAGTTACTGTCCTTGATGGGTATGCCAATCTCAGCACGTACTTCCCGGCTGAGGTGCACATGACCTCTGCTGCCTTTTATGTTATTTAAATTTTTTATCTTTTTTCTTTTATATTCCATTTTAATTTATCTTTTTTTGTTGTTGTTACTGTGTCACTGTGTAGTTTTTTTTGTGGCAGCCCTAGAGATTACAGTACACATTTCGCCATCCACTTAGACTCGGTATTTACCAATTCAAGTGGTAAGAATGTTAGTGCTATGTAGACTCCTTTATTCTTCCCCATTTATGTTGGAGTTGTCTTATATGTTATATCTTCGTACCCTGGAAACCCCATCAGACAGTGTTACGATTTTTACTTTAAATTGTTGAACACCATTTAGGGAATTCATGGGGAAAGATTAGTCTGTTGTGTTCAGCCAGATTGTCATCATTTCTGTTGTTCTTCCTTCATTCCTGATGTTCCAAGCTTCCTTCCAGTGTCTATACGAAGACCTTTGTTTAGCAGTTCTTTTAGGCCTGGGGCATCATGGTTGAGGTTTTACAACTGTGTTTAGTGGATTGAGTGGATTCAAAGATTGGACAGCGTGTGTTTTCTCCATCTTAAACCTCCACGTGGAACCCAGGTATTGATGCTTTAGTTTTTGTGTTAATAGTGTTTCCATTTTATGACTTCCAAAATTATTTCTCTGAAGAATTGCAGAAATGGCGGTGCCCTGATTATTATGAGAACAATGTCCATAAGATGCAGCTCCCATTTTCCAGCAAGCTCCTCGGCAGCACTCTGACCTCGGAGGAGAAACAGGAAAGGCGGCAGCAGCAACTGCGTCGGCTGCAGGAGCTCAACGCCCGGCGACGGGAGGAGAAGCTGCAGCTGGATCAGGAGCGTCTGGAGAGACTGCTCTACGTGCAGGTAACAGACACAGGGATGCACACCTCTGTGCTCAACAAGATGGTCCCAGAAAATTTTCTCCCTATATATTTTTCCTTGGCCCTAAAATGTGTTGACCATCTCAGTCCCCGTTGGGGTCAGGAATAAATCCAGGGGGATCATCAGTGTAGAGTATAGTATAGAAGCAGGTTTTTCTCAAAGAGCTGTGGACTCCAGTTCTATTGATTTGTTTTATTTTGGCCTTATAATCTCCTTTATTTCATTTTTTTAACTTAAGTGTAGCACATACAGTACAAACTGCATCTCAGTAAATTTTCACAAAGTAAAGCAAACCCATGTGTCTGCTCTTAGATCAAGAAACAGAGCAGTCCCAGCATCTCAGAAGCCTCCCTCATGTCTCCTCTGCCCCCTTCTCCCGCAGATGGTAACACCATTTCTTTGATCCGTCACAGTGATTGGTTTTGCTTAATCAAGTGTTGCTGGAACAGTGATGCCTAGAGACAGCTGGGGAGGAGGGCAGCTATGCCAAACTGAGGCAGGAGCTGGAGATGTGGCTCTGTGGTGTGCAGGCCAGGCGAGTCCTCTCCTGCTACAGCTCTTCTCTGTTTGGCTTTGAAGTTGCTTCTTTTTCCCTCCTGTTTATGAGTGCACTGTTTGGCTTTGAGGATGAATTGTGAGTGCTCTATGGTTTTAGGAACTTCTAGAGGATGGCCAGATGGATCAGTTTCACAAAGCTCTGATAGAACTGAACATGGACTCCCCAGAAGAGCTGCAGTCCTACATACAGAAGCTCAGTTTGGCAGTGGAGCAAGCTAAGCAGAAAATCCTTCAAGCAGAAGTCAACCTGGAGGTGGATGTGGTAGACAGCAAGCCAGAGGTAACCATGAGGGCAGGGAGCAGCCCTTGAGGGGAGGAGTGTCCTGAGACGGCTGGCAGTCGCCAGGGGGTGCCCCTTGAGTCCAGGAAGAAAAGAGAACATGGGCTCGGCGCCTGTGGCTCAAGCGGCTAAGGCGCCAGCCACATACACCTAAGGTGGCGGATTCAAATCCCCAGCCTGGGCCCGCCAAACAACAATGATGGCTGCAACCAAAAAATGGCCAGGGGTTGTGGCGGGCGCCTGTGGTCCCAGTTACTTGGAAGG